ACCACCATGCCGGAGGGCTTCACGAGGGGGTCGAGGACGAGGGCGACGAGGAGGAGGAGGAGGAGGTGGAGGAGGAGGAGGAGGACGATGACGCTGATGCTGATGATGATGCTGATGCTGAGTTCGCTGATGGTGGTTATTGTGGTAATGATGCTGGTGATGGTGATCATGGTGACCATGGTGATCATGGTGATGATGATGGTGATGCTGATGCTGGTGATGATGCTGCTGAGGATGATGATGCTGATGATGATGATGATGATGATGATGGTGATGATGATGATGATGATGATGATGATGATGATGATGATGATGGGGTTGGTGGTGATGGTGATGCTGCTGGTGATGATGCTGCTGATGATGCTGATGCTGATGTCCATGCTGCTGATGATGATGACGTTAACGATGACGATGATGATGATGATGATGATGATGATGCTGATGCTGATGGTGCTGATGATGATGATGGTGCTGCTGATGACGATCATGGTGATCATGATGAGGATGATGAGGATGATGAGGATAGAGGTAGAGATGGTGTTAAGGATGATGCTGTTGATGATGATGATGATGATGATGATGATGATGATGATGATGATGATGATGATGATGATGATGATGATGATGATGATGATGATGATGATGATGATGATGATGATGATGATGATGATGATGATGATGATGATGATGATGATGATGATGATGATGATGATGATGATGATGATGATGATGATGATGATGATGATGATGATGATGCTGATGCTGATGATGATGATGATGCTGATGATGATGATGATGATGATGATGATGATGATGATGATGATGATGATGAGTATGCTGATGTTGATGCTGATGTTGATGCTGATGCTGATGCTGATGCTGATGCTGATGCTGATGATGTTGTTGCTGAAGCTGATGCTGATGCTGATGCTGCTAGTGATGGTGATGGTGAGGATGACGATGCTGATGAGGAGGAGGATGGGGAGGATGGGTATGGGGAGGTGGGTGTATGTGCGAGAGGATGAGGATGAGGATGTGGATGAGCAGGAGGTGGATGCGAAGAAAGTCGCTAATTCATGTTCATGAGTACGTTGCTCCACCACTCCCTCGAAGGCGAACGCTGCTATAGCCTCTAGGCCACACTCACTCAGAGCGCGCGACGTCGCCCTCGATGACGAGCATGGGCGCCGTCCGTGGCGGCCCATCGCAGGACCGCCCGTCAAACGCCCGCTTCCCTTGCCCTCGGGCGGCGGCGAGCGAGACCGCGGCTCCTCGGCCTCGGCGCGTGCCCCTCGCGCGAGCGGCCGGGGCCGCCCCGGCGCCTCTCCGCCGCCCCTCGCGGAGGCGGCGGCCCCCTCGCAGCCGCCGCGGGGCCCGGCGGCCCCGGCGGCCCGAGGCAGCGCGGCCGGCGGCCACGGCGCGCTCGCCCTCCCGAGGCGGTGGGCGGAGCGGAGGGCCGCGCTCCGCGCCCGCGGCGCCTGCGGCGCCCTCGCCGCCTCCGCGCACCGCGCGGCGCCTCTCCGCCGGGCACTCGGCCGATGGGGCGCGCGGCGGAGCGCTCGGCGCCTGCGCTCGCGCCCCGTGCCTGGGCCGCAGCACCGTCGCCCAGGCCCCGCGCTCGTGGCCCTCTGTGCGCCACCGCAGCAGCTCCACGGCGGCCGCGACCAAGGCTCACGCCAGCAGCCGCTGGCGGGTTTGCCAGCCGCAGTGGTCCGATCTCCGCCGCCACGCCCCCGCTCATGGTGGGGCCCGCCTCCCCCGCGAGCAGATGCAGAGGATGCTGCTGTCGTCGCCGCCGCGGCGCACAGCGCCGCCCCCGCAAGCTCCTGTCCAGCGCGCCGCGCACCGCTCGTCCAGTGGGACTCGCCGCCCGACGAGCCGCCCTGCTCGTCGCCCCCGCGAGCGTCCTTGGCGGGGTCGTTGGCCCGTTGACCGTGTTCCCGGAGAGCGTTTCCAGAACGCGGTGTGGCTGAGCAGGGGGGCAACAGGTGACCGCACTCGACGTCGCTCCAGCACGCGCCCAGCCCCGAGCGCGGCCGCCCGACTCTGGCAGCCCAGGCTCCGCCGCCGCGCACTGCGGGCAAGCCCAGACCACCCCGTCGTCCATCTCGAACGCCATGCCAGGGACGCCGCAGACGCGCCCGCCACGTGACGTCCCAGCGGCCTGCCCTGCAGTCGTCAGCCGCCAGGTTGCGGCAAGTGGGCGCTGTGGCCTGATGGCTGCTTGCCCCTCCTCAGCTCCCCTGTAGCTGCAGCAGCCAGGAGCCCAGCTGGCACGCGGTGCAGAGACACTTGGCCGCTGGCTGCAGCCTGGGGGGCCAGGGTAGGGCCAAGCTGCGCCCCGAGCCCTGGCCAGGGGGGCCACATGCCGCCCGACGGCTCGAGGTCGGGCCCCGCGCCCTGCAAGGAAGCCAGGGTTGCCGGCATCTCGGCCACCACCCGCGTCCGTTTGGCGATCTGTTCCTCCGTCTCCAACAGGACGTCTGCAGCGATGCTGCTTGTGCGGTGCTGATGATGATGGTGATGAGGAGGGCCAGGGGAAGAAAGGCGACGCGTAATCAGGAGGACGGTTGGTCAAGCATGAGGGGGAGGGGAAGAACAAGAGCGGGAGACTGAAGCTGAGGGTGGGCGCATCGCCCCCGTGGGCGCAGAGGAGGGGGCAGGGGGGGGAGGAGGGCTCCCTCCTAGGGCCTCCGCCCTCCCTGCCCCCGCCCCCTCCTGCCGCTCCACTGCAGTTCTCTTGGCATCGCTCGGACTTCTGTTTTTTTTTTTTTTCTCGGCGAGAACCATCGCGGACCATCCTGGACCATCGAGCTACAAAAACACGCACGAAACCGAAAAATGCACGGGAAATGGACGTCCTAGCGACGGCAAGTGCTGCGGGGGGCCCCTGCGCGTCCTGCCCCCGGCCGCCCCTCGCGGAGCCCTCCGGCCATGGCCCCCTCCCCCTGGACTCGGGCGGCGCGTGCGGCGGCACGGCGAGCGGCGCCCCTAAGAGAAGCATGCACATCGATCGCCAGCGCGGGCCCCCTTCGGCGAGGGGGCCCAGCGCAGATCCGAGCAATCCGCGCGGAGCGTCGACGGTTCCCAGAGATCCAACGCATTGAAGAACTCAAGACGGAGGTTTTTCGCAATTGTTGGCCTCTCGGGGCCCTCGCCCGGCCTCGGGACCGTCAAAAAAGGGCTCCGGACGAGAAACCGGTGCCGGGGAAAGGGTCGTGATTTCCGGGGACGCCGTCCTGAGAAAAATCGCACGTCGCACATCTGGGTTTTTGTTTATGCCGTGTTTTTCCTCTGCCAGCAGCGGATTCTCGCGCGCTCTCGCTGTGCACCCCGTGCGGTGCAGTCTCTATGAGATGGAGCCGGCGTGGTGCCATCTGTGCGGTGGCGTATACGTGGATGTGTTGAAAGCTGTGGGATGCAGCCGGTGTGACGCTATCTGTTCTAGTGCGATAGACGGGGTGAGAGCGGGGACTATGATTAGAGTAACCAGCTCGGGGCAACAACAATTATGTCTGTGGTTTTTCCTTCCCCCCCCCCCTCGCCCCTCCTCGGGCGCGCGCCCGGACGGCCGATGGGCCAGACGGAGCTGAAGCGGAGGGTTAGGAGGAGCGGGGTAAGGGAGAAGGCAGGGGAGTTCACAGCAGCGGGATGCAATTGCAACGACGACCAGATAGGATTTGTAGCTTCCATGAGTTGTGATCAAATGTGGGCGATGAGGAGGCACCGTCAGAGATACACTAGGTAATTTTGGCGTTGTTTTAGAAAGTAGCATAGGACCTGAGTGGTAACATTTCGAGCTGCGGTTGGGTTTTACCACGTAAGCTGCAGTCGGAGTTCAACCGTCCAGAGCGACACGTAGCAGTTGCTGTGACAAGAGCTACGTGGCAGCTGTTCCAAATACTGCAAAGGAACCGTAGTATGACATGTAGTAATACGAATTGCAGTAGGAGGTTTGCGTTTCAGCGCAAACTCGCGTCTCCACTGCTGTGCAAACACCCCACCCACCCACCCACCCACAAGCTTTTGGAACGAGTGAACTGGGCGTTGGCGACGACGTTGATGATGATGATGTTCATATTTCAGGCGACGTCGGGGGCGATGTCGACGACGAATTTGATGGTGATGCAGCTGATGGAGATGATAGTTACGGCGGCACTGATGGCGCTGGCGATGATGATATTGACGATGGAATTGGTGTCACCAATGCCATCGTCATCATCATACTCACCACTTAATGAGGATGCTGAGGAGGACGTGCGCGCGCAGAATTGACGAGGGCGACGACATCGACAATGACGATGATGACGGCTGCGGTGTTGATGACGACGATGGTTGTGAGGATGATATCGAGCATGGGAATGATGACGTTGACGATGATAATACGGATCGTCCTGATGAGGACCATGAAGACGTGCGCGCCTGCAGACGTTCATGATTCATGTTTCATGTTGGAAACCATGCGGGGTGTGCGTAAGTTTAAATATATCTGAAGGGAATTGCTTCACGAACGAGTGAGTTTGGAAGGATTTTGTCGTGTGCGCGCGCAGATGCGCGCGTGTGGTTCGCATTATATTGTTTGACTGGTCTGGCGGTCGCGCGATTGTTTTGGGATGCTTTCGACATGCGCGCTCGTGTGGTCTGCAGGGCCTCATTTTTTTCAGAATGGCTATGATCCAGTGGCTGTATTATGTTTCGAGCGAGTGCATGCGTGAAGGATTCTGGCAACGTTGAATTGTATTGCATTGGTGTTTGTGACAGTTTTCGAATAGCGCTGTCTTGCAGTTGTTCGGCTGTTGTTGACATGCGCCCGCGGCGGTGCGCGAATGTGCCCTGTCTTGCATTCCTGTAGAAGGGGCTCCGAGAGAAAGAACGTCGTATATTAATTCAAGTGCGCATCATAATTCGGCAAACTGTGTTTTTAATTAGGGATTCTTATGTGGTGTCTACAGAACTGGGCCTGCGGGTCGGTCTGGCGGCTATGTTGTTCGTGCCGCCGC